AAAAAAGTTTTCCAAAAAAAAAAAAAGAAAATTTCGATTTAGTCCACAAAAAAGAAAAACAAAAATAAATAAATTGAAAATAATTTAAAGAGAAACACTTGAATTAAAATAATTAAAACTTTAAAAGCGAAGCAATAAAATTTAAATCATTTAAAGCGGAAATGTTATTGAATTAAAAAAAAAAATTTAAAGCCATAATAAGATTAATTTCACAAATTATTGTCAATTCAAAATACAAATAAATTGTAATAACAAAAGTACCGATTAAAAATTACTATCGAGTGATAAAAATGTAAAAAAAAATTGAAAAAATTTAAAAATTACATTTTACAAAAATGAAAAAAATTCCCCGCCCCAAAAAAAAAGGATTGAATTTTATTACACAAGTTTTTTTTCCATTATTTTAACCCTACATTATTGCTGAAATTTTTAAGCTTCGAAACTAGTATAAAGAAATATATTAACGTAAACTTGATGTTCAAACTGTGGAGCGTGAAGTAAAAGTTTCAGATAAAACTTTCATGAGTAAGGACTAACTAAAGCAGTTTGAAGCCTTAAATTCGTAAAGCGCGCTAATGGACTCTGTTTTTAGTATCAGACGAGATCGTCTTTTGTTGGCTTCACATATATATATATACACACACACATATGTATGTAAAATTTTACGATTCACAAAATTTGACTATCCAATTGAAATTTCATTTTCATTTATGGATGCATCAGAAATTATATATGAATTTTAATTAGTTGACAAATAATGAGAAATCAATATTTCAAAATGAGAAAAAAATTTACGCAGTTTATATTGCTATTATTATAAATTTTCATATAATGTATATCGTTTTGCAGGAACTATTAATTACACAATTCTCTTTAATTACTTTCGTATTATAACGGGAATTTCAAATATGTTATACAGTACAAATCAGTAATGCGATTAAATTTTGTTATATCTACTGCTTTTATTATTAATTAACAAAATGTACAAATATTATTAATAGCAATTTTATTCATTTTATATTGAAAAAAAACTACAAAAATCAATAAAAATTCTTTAATTTCAAAAATAAATTAATTTAAAAAAAAAATAATTAAAAGTTACTAAACATAATTATGTAAAAAAATTTAATTAATAATAATTAGAAATTAATGCAAATTTAAATTAGACTTAGAAAATTTTAAACATTTTTAGAAATATTCCATGTAACCAAATTTGTGTTTAACAATTTTCATTTAACCGAATTGTCATTTAATTGAATTATCCAAATTTTCCCATATATAGCCGAATAATTATTTGATTGAATTTTCATTTAACCAAATTGTGTTTTACAGAATTAAGTATCATTTCAGCTTAATGAAAAATCGAAAAAATTAAAATTCGGATAAACAGAAAATTGGTTTAATGAAAATTTATTTAAAATCCAATTTAATGATGTAAAAATTTAGTTAAATAAAAATTCGCTTTAATAAAAATCTAATTAATTAAAAATTCAGTACTCGGATTTCTTTATTAATTTAAAAAATTTTTCATTAGTGGATTTTGAGAAATTTTTTTATGCAAAAATGAAATAATATTGTAAACCCAACAAAAGTCACAACTAATTAATTATAAATATCTCACAATTCCGGTTAATTTTCTCGCTTTCTAAATGTGAAATTAAAAAAAAAAAAAAGGGAAAAAAAAAGATTCTAATGAAGAAAAGCATTTCGCGCGGAATTTCAAAGAAGTAACATTTTCCGGAAATGAGTTTTCTCGAAATGGCATTTCGATTAGCCGCAAATGCATTTTGCTCGTGACACTGACTGATGTGTTGTTAATGTTGATGAAACTTTAGTGGATTTTTTTTTTTCGCTACATTAAAACCATCATCGTACCGCACAATCTCAGAGAGTAAGTCTATAATGATCATTCAGACCACAAGCTCATATTAGTTTATAGTCGAGTGCACTCTGCACTAACTGTTATGGTTAAAATTACTATGGATTGTAAGGCATCTGCTATTTTGCTTTTATCACAAAATACAATAATAATAATTAAAAAAAAAAAAAAAAAAGAAATAATTCCCACCTTTATTAATCAATTCTCATAATCCTTTAAAAATCCTCACGAATATAAAGAAATCTAAATGATTTTTAGAAAAAAATATTAATTATTCAATGATGATCACGCGCTTATTTCCATAATATTTGATTATTCACTAAAGTTCACTTTGTAAATAATAGAAAAGCCTTTTTTACACACACATAATTCTTTGAAATGAAATTTTCTATTTCTAATCCTTCTTCTCTTCCACTTATAACCACTTTTTCAGCTCAAAAAAAAAACTAAAGAGAAAAAATGTGTAAAAGAAAAAAAAAAAAATTTAGAACGAGGTAAGAGTTACGACTCTTTTTATTTTTCGAGTGCCACTTGAACCATTGAGCGACACAAAAGAAAGCGACGATTTCGAAGAAATTTCGAAGCACATATAAAACGCGGTTGAAATATTTCGCGGAGAGAAAGTTTGCTGTATAAAACAACTACCACCGACTAGAAGCAGACCCGAAAGCTCTCTGGCGAGCTTGGGTGAATTCAACGTGGCTGGTTGAAGATCACGAAGCTTGCGCAGGTTCTCTTTCTCTCTCAACTAAAACTTTATCTCACTTACTCGCTTTCTGTTTTGCCGTTTCTCTATCTCCGTTAAATTTTCCACATAGTATTTCCCTCTCCCTTTTATACATATAGATATATATATTTTGAACAAGTACCTTACGTTATATAGACAAGCAAGCACCAAAACTCTAGGTGTTTGTTTATTAAATGCATCTTCACTAAGACGACTTGTGGAGGAGCATTCTCTGGCTTCCTCCTTTCATTTCAACTCTGCAATATCTTCTCTCGTGTCCCAATAAGCTACTCATTTTTTTTTTCTTTCTTTCTTTCTTTATCTACTCTATATAAATTCTCCTCGAGCATTTAAGTGACATTATGAATGTGGGTGAACTCGTCAAATAACAAATATAAATGATAAGACAAAAAAATAGAAGAATTCTAACTTTTATCAAATTGTAACCGCTGACAAATACGCAACTACCATTCAAGTTAAAGGGAAAATTTTTTATATGAAGATCTTATTTAACCAAGTTAAATTAAACCAACGTTTTTTCCTAATTATATATTCCTAATTGAATTTTTCCAATTATTTTTTCTAGATTTTACCAAATAATATATAATTATTCCTAATACAGTGAATTTACTCTATTACGACATTTGCAATTGTTTTTTATTTCACAAAATTTTTATCTACGCTAAAAAAAAATTATTTTATTCAAATAATCGGACAATTATCAAATATTTAGCAAATAATTTTTGAAACTAAATAATAATTGGACTTTATTTGAACCAATAATTTTTCTATTTAAAACAAATACCATTTAATTGGCCTAATAATTATTTAATACAAATACTATTTGATAATAATGTAATCGATTATTTGAATAAAATACATTTTTTTCAGTTTGTATTTGACACCGTATTATTCAAAATTTTATGTATAAAAAATGAAGGTAAATAATTATTTAAATTAAACATGGATTTTGCTCCGAAAATTTTGGGACGACAATTGCTCCTAAATGGTTTCATTAATTAAAGAACTTTGAATTTAAACATATATGTACAAAATAGAAAATCATTTATGCTTTGAATTTCAAAAAATTTTTTTACAAAATAAAATAGAAAAAAAAATCATTTGAAAATTAGAAAGAAAAATTAATTTCATAAATTTAGGAAAATTAGGAATTTAATTTAATAAAAAAAATTATTAATTTCAATGAAAACCTGCGATATCTTGATCTGTATGAAAATTTGTTATCTTTTGAGAGAATTTTCCTGATAATGTCAATTTAAAAAGAATTTACAATTTACGTAAAATGACAATTTTCCAACAAAGTCTACGTCGCAAAGTGCACAATTTAGAATTGAATGTTTTTGTATAAAAACAAAAGCCATCAGAGAAAATTGAAATAATGAAACAATCGAAAGGGATTTGTATATATATATATATAGAACAAGAAAGGCAGAGACTTGTCTTTCAAACGATCTCTATAATGCATTTACAATTTAAAGACAACGTCGTTACCGTCACTATCGTAGATGAGTTGGTACCCATTGCTGAGCTTGTTCAATCAATCGTCAATTAGCAAATTACTGTTCAGAGCCACCAGCCTCGAATTCAACGATAGCACGTGCTGGTATAAATACACTCACGTGGATTCACCAATTCTCTATCTTTCTCTCACACACAAATACTATAATACACGTGTTCAAATACCTACACGAAATAGAGGTTTCCCTCTGATATTCTCCGAAACATGTCAAATAGAGCGGTTTTCAAGTGTTACGACAAATATGCACGCGATACTCATGTTGTTAATATATAAATGTCATTGGTTTTTCTATTTTCAATTGTTGACTATTATAAATCTTTAGCTCTCTTTTCATTAATTTCACCTATCTTCATGTAAACGTTGAATTACACGCGAATGTAACTAATCGTGTGAATGGTTTTGGGGGGGGGGGATAATTAATCTTCAGTTGGGCGAATGCCATACACACCAAACGAAATTAATGTCCCGCATAATTTGTTACTATATATAAACGAAATACATTAGTCTCGTCTGATTTTAATGATATTGTTATTATTATTTCTTATTTTCCCCGGAAATTATTAAAAAATTGAATTAATTATAATTATTAAATATTCTCATCTCAATAGAGGATAAAAAAAATTTCTTTTTCTTATTAATAAGTTTTTCAATTTTCATTTATAAAAACAATTTTATCTCTTGGTATTTTTATTTTGTGCTTCGCTCCCTTATCTCTCTTTTATTTGTAGTCCTCCCCCCTCCTCTTCTCAAACCCAATAAAATCTATATATAGATCGCATCACCCCTCAAACCAAACTAATTTCCTGTCTTTAACCAAGAATCCAATCTGTTCGCTACTTATTCTTTATTCTTACCTTACACCATGATAAGGGAAGAAAGAGAGAGACTCTTTGACACACCAGGCACCTTCGATATTTTTCACCCGTTGATCCACTTCGTTGATCCGATAATTTTCTTCTTCATACGATAGATTAAGCAATATATATATATATATATATATATATATATATATATATACTTGATGTTTTCTCAACTTTATCACGTCCAAAAGTATATTTTTTTTCCTGCAAAAAACAATAAGATTTTATCAAAAAATCGAGAAAGAAAGAGATAAATAATAATAGTTTATGTCTTTTTATTTCTATAGTGATTTATGGTTAAATATCTTTGAGATTGTGCCTCTTTTTTTTTTTTTGAAGAAAGGAATTTTTATTTGTGCATTCAATCGATGCCTGTCAAGATGTTGATTTAATAGAAGTACTTATGCTCATTCAATAGCTTTAGTTTCAGCCATTATACCAATTTCATGTTCGTAACTGAAATACTTGAACAATTTTTATTGAACGCAATTAACTCAAGCTTGCGAGATTATTATACGCATTGAATCGTTTCTTTTCCCAAAAAGAAAAACATTTTTCTCAAGAATAAAATTTGTATGATAGCAATAATTTTCTGAATCACGTTCATTGTTTATATAAGACCATTAAAAATAAATTCAAAAACTTACAAAATAGAAAAGTTTTTAAATTTATACGCGATCTTTGGGAAAATGCCGAGAGTGAAAGAGAGATAGAGAGAGAGAGAGTTTCTCGCTTTTGGAATTCAAATACATTTTCTCGAGGCAAATAAATTTTCCTAAAGCTTCTTTGTTTTCCCTTCCTTTAAAAAGAAAGTGGACAGAGAACGAACTTTGAAGAACTATTGCGTTTGTTTATTAGTGAAACAACTTTCGACACTTCTTGGTGAAAAGCAAAATGGGAAAGGGGAAATTTTTTGTTCGCAAAGACTTTGGAATCAAGTTTCTAACGAGAATTACCGGCAGGTGGAAAACTTTTCTCGAATTCCCTTGACGCATCCGAGTCAGTAATTCTTTTTATACGTTCCGTCTTACATTCATTTAGTTTTTTCAAGGAAAAGTTTATGTTTCCAAATTGCTTACTAATTGTTTTGCTATATAGTTGAAAAAAAAAATTACAAAATCTATCCCACATTTTTTTTTTTACCATTCATTAATATTTTGTTTTTGAAATTTATTCTCGAATAAAGAAATTTACATATTTTGTTTTAAATTTAATCTAAACTTTTATGTTATTAAAAAATAAATTCATTTAAGTATTTACTAAATTGAACATTATAATTGTAATTTTTGAAAATGAAATAATATTCAATGGTACATTTTTGAAAAAAGGTTCCCAAATAGCGATAAATTTTGATTAAGTTTTTCGGCAAACAGTGAAACGATGAGGACTCTCGAAGAGCAATATACTTGTAAAGACAATATCGAGAAAGGGAAACGGAAATCGAGAAGCCGAAACAATAATATAGAAATGAATATATACAATATAGAAAAACGTTTGTTCAATTGAAACTGGATTCACAAAAATTGCATACATATATCAATTTATTTTTTCCACGCTTTTAATAAATTAAAATTTTATTATCTTTTTTTTCGTTTTCTTAAATCTTTACTTAATTTTTAATATTACTTTCGCCAGAAGTTATCGCCAGCTGGGATTATTGCTTTTAGAAAGAAAAATGGTAAAAAAGAAAGAGAGAAAGAGAGAGAGAGTGTGGGCACAAAAAGGGAAAAAGTGTTGTTTTTCACGGGATTCTTACTCACATTAAATTCTCCTTGTAGCTTCCCTCCTTCAACTCCTTTATGTTTGTCATCGCCAGTCTCTCCTATCTCATCGGTGGAAGATGATTGTCAAAAGTATGGAAGAGTGCTTTTTGAAAAGTTACAAAGAATTCCTTGCAAACGAAGGCCAAAAGTTCCATCGTAGAAGCATTTGCCGTTGCACATCCAAAAGTGAAAGACAACTTTAGGACTCAGAAACGCGTGAAGAGATCTGGATGAAATCTCAGTGTGAAACTTGGGTGATATCTCATTTGAAATACGAGTCCAGGGAACCTGAAATTTCAAAAATGATATAATTTGACTTGATTTATAATATTACTCAAATATTTTTATTAACACTCATCTCAAAAATTTATAACAAAAATATTGTTAAAAAAATAAATAATAAAAGAAATTTTTCGTTCTTAATTTAAAAAGAGAATTTAAATTTCAAAATTATTTTTCCTGATATTTGCGCCAAGATTGAATGTATGTGTGTGAGAGAGAGAGAGAAAGGAATATAGGAAAAGACGGGGGAGAAAGCGAAAGACCAGAAGTAACTTTCAATGAAAACGGACCGCAGATTTCCAAAGTTGTGGACCAATTAGACTCCAATTCGTTCAGGGAGTCGGCTGTGAACAACGTCTGCCGCAAAACGGACGTTTAATTAAAGTCCTATGCCTTGCCATTTGACTCGCTTATTGTCTTGGTCAATAAGTTAGACTCAAAGCAACCGTACACTTTAAGATCAAACAACTCTCATAATTTCAATTAAATCATATCAAATATTTTTAATAATTAATTAATAAAAAAACACCACTTGATTGATTAATTAATTAATTATATTTAATAATAAATGAACAAAATTTTCTTCTCATTTAATTTTTTTGTCAAATTATTATTATTATAATTGAAACTACAATCAAAGTGGCACGAGAGAAAAGAAGAAAAATAAATATTTTTTCATATCAATATATATACTGTGTATATACACAACAGATTACTAGAAAAGTTAACACAGTCTAAAGAAGCGTCCTCTTAAGCTTGATAATAATTATCTCTTTGGTAAACAAGTGGTTATATGATGGTATAAGATCAAAAGAATTCAAAACTAAAATTGCTATTTAAATATTAATTTATGAACTTTGATCATCATCAGATAATTTCAAAACTCTCGACGTGGTAAGAACTTTATAATTGAATTATAATTTAATATTATTCAAAAAGCCCTATGCTGCGGTTTAATATAAACAGATTATTAAGTTCGTTAATGAAGTGAGTGAATTATCCGAGTATCGCGTAATAAAGTTATTTAATTAACATTGAGTCTATCATATAAAACATAAATTTACAATTTGTAATCAATTCACAATTATTTATAATGTATCATCCAAATTTCCATTCCCCCCCCACCCCAATTTTCATTTATTCAAAAATTAATTTACCCAAAATTTTGTATTGTTTGAATTTTTTATTTATTTAAATTTTTCTTTATCCAAAATATTATTATTGCACAAGCAACATGAATATTTTGTTTGATAAATGATGGTGAACCTATTCGTTTGGGTCGAACGACAGACAGGATGTTACCAATCAGACTAAAGTTAGTTCCCCTTTTTTTCTCTCTTTCTCTCTCTCTCTCTCTTTTCTACTCCATTGCTTGATAATTCAAAATAATTAAGTAGTTACAGAGCTAAGCGCCCCGAACTAATTGGACGGTTCGCCCCTTTTTTTTCCTGTTTTTTTTTACTCCATACAAAGTTGCGTACACCACTAATTTCTGTCGTGGTATTTTTTTTCCTCTCTAAACGCACTGAAAAACCAAAAACTCGATTTCTAGATTAAAAAAATTGTAATATATTGGCAAAAGAATAAATTAAATTATACTTATTTTCATTTTTTTTTTCAAAATCAAATTCAAATTAAAAGAGAATACAAATAAAAATTTATAATTACAAATTAAATATTTTTGTGAAGAAATTAAATATAAAAATTAAAAAAATTGAGAAAAATAAAAATGAAAAACGTTTGGAACAAAATACTTTTAAAACAGAAATAAAATGTAGTTAAATATCCAATAAATCTCGAGTGTCAGTAGTGTAAGCTCATTGTATTTTCAATTGAGAAATTTTCGAGGTGAAAGTATTATTTTTTTTTCAATTTACTTTATATTGATTTTCCCTCTTATTTGCAATGAAGTTTAAGAGAGGTAGAGGAGAAAAAAAAAGGAGAAAAGAGACTTGTCACGGAGAAAACTACTATTAGGGGCAATGCGACGATAACTCGTTTAGAAGAGCGTGAAAAACACTTTAATCGCACGGTAATTATCGAGTGATCAATTTACGAGTAGCTGTGTGCGGGGTAGTATGTCTCTATGGGAATGAGTAAATTTCAACTCGCATCCTTCGGAAACTTCCTTTACGATTTTTCTTCAACTCAGTTAAGTAAGTTACTGGTTAAAATGGTTAAAGTTTAAGTGCAGAAGCCGGACTTGAAAATTGTGAAACGAACTTTACTCATATTACAACTGTGTTTTTTCCCTTTACCTTTTTTTTTTTCATTCAAAACGAAATTTCCTTTTCCTATCCAAAGATAATCCTCTTTATTTTTTTCAAACACGTATATTCTCCTTTTTTAAATATTTTTTAAAATTTATTTCACGTTTTTTCGCTTATTGCGAGCTAGCAGTATAATTAACGTTAATGATACAAATATTTGTTTAAGAAATTGTAAATACAACTTGTCGTTAAATAATTATTACTCGATATTTGACAATGAATTATTGACTCTCTCTCTCTCTCTCTCTCGTAGATGGAAATTATTTACTAGAACAAACAATTTGTTATGTTTTTTCCGAGGTAAAAGAAAAAAATTGTTTTTATTAATTGTTACACAATTTAAAAAAAAAAAAAAAAAAACCCGACGAACGCCAGTGGAAAAAAAGTAACTGCGAACAATCTAAATGGATATTCATTCATTTAGATTATTCGCACTTTTTAAAAAAAAAAATATCTTTTATAAATATTCTACACTCAAATCTCAATTTCAATTTGAAAGGATTTAATTGAAATGATTTTTTTCATATATATATATATATATATATATATATATATATATATATATATATATATATATATATATATATATATTTAAAAAAATTCACTTAACTTCAATAGAGATTACGTGAGTAAAAAAAAGCGATTTTCAAAAAGCATCGAAAAAGCCGAAAATGGTTTTTTAAAATTAATAAACTACAAATTTAGTTTTACATATATGGGAAATGAAAATTGGTTTTTAAATTTAATATTTTAGCAAGAAAAATCAAGTAAATTAAAAAAAAAAAAAAAAAAAAGAGAAATAGGAATTATATGAAAAAGAAGATTTTAAAAATAACATATATCCAAACCAAAATGGCTTCCTATTTTATATCGAGACGATAAATGTTAGTGTAAATATGAACGAAAAGTGGTTTAAAATGCAATGTCACGTTCGCACACATATCCGGTCGGTTTTCAACAATAACTTTGTCCTATATATATATAATACAAACCATTTTGTATTCATGATGGACACAACGATCAGAATAGTATATATATGCTTGTTAATAATCGCTAAACTATTTTCTATAATCATCTATTTTCACCACAATATAATATTGAAATCATTTAAACAGAAATTTAATATCAAAACAAATGAGAAATAAATATATTAAATTTCCCAGCATTAATTATTTAATTACAATAATAACTTATTATCAATTTATGTATTATATAACAATTCTGAATTAACTCATATCGTTTAGGCAGAAAATTAATACCCGAAATTGAAATTTACATTTTATAAAAATAATTTTAAAAAATTATATAAAATTTCCCTAGAGAATATTTCATTAAAAAAAAAGAAGAAACCGCGAGGAATTAAATTTCAAGGGATTGCGAGGTTATAATTTTTTTCAGCTAAACCTGGAGAAAATAAAAGAAGAAAAAAAACTGAACTCATTGTACAATTCGTTTCCGGATGTCTTGGTACCATGGATACAAAAAAAAAAAATAGAGAAACTATCGAGAGTAAAAGAGAAAGATGGGTTGAAAAAAAAGAGAATGAATGAAAGAAAAAAAAAAAAAAAAAAAAAACGAGACGTGGAAAAAGTCAAGATTAAGCACAAGGCATAAAAATGGCAGGTCACGTAGGTGAAAAATCTGATCCTGTAGGAGGACAGAATTCTCCCCGCAAACCTTCTTCAAAACTCATAATTCATCTGGTTCTCGTTATTTGCGCGCTTTCACTATCGAGATGAAAGTCGTTCCACGACGAAGATCACTGAATTCCATATATTTTTTGTCCTCACATTTTTAAACTAAAACTCGACATTTAACACTTTATTAAATTTATCGACACTTCCTTTTCTAAATAATAACGATCCGCTCAGTTTTATGACGAATGCGCCCATAGTTATTGGAGTTTTTTTTTTTTATAGAACTTAATCAAATATTTAAAAGGATCGTTTGAAAACAAAATGAGTTCAATTTCCCTAAAAAAAAATTCTGAGATGACGCAGTAAATTTCAATATAAAAATTTTATGCAAAAACACTAAAACCATGTGAAAATTTGTTTAAAATACAAAAATAAAAAAATTTATATTTAATTACAAATTTTTTTAACACTGAATCTAGTTTTTTTTTTTTTTTTGCTATATTATTTTGTATTTCAAAAATTCTACATAATGGGACGTAAACATTGCATGTTTTGTTAAGTTTTACGATTTACGGTTCAATTAGACAGTAATTAAACAGAGATCTGGCGCTAATATATATATATATACCTCGAGGGAATTACAGAGGCAGTAATAATAATGTTTTCGATTATAATGAGGGACCAGTAATTAAAGCGCGCGCAAAAAAATAGAAGTTCGATATATAAAATTCGTAATAAAAAAAAAAAAAAAATTTGAAAAAGGGTACAAAAGAAACCAAAGAGAGAATTGTGAAAAGAATTACGAGAAAATGTATAAAAATAAAATACGATGGTAGAAAGAAAGAAGAAAAAAGAAATACCCAGTAAATTGTAAAGAATCAATAAAGTCGCGCTAATTAATTATCGAGATCGGACAGACTCGATGGAAATATAAAGGTGATTCGAATTGTTGGAACATTTCTGGATCGGTTGCGACACCAATTAGTTTGCAACTCGTTAATTATCTCCATTGTAAATCGCGATGTGATTCGATGATTACAAAGAGAGAACTCCGGTTCAGTATAAAATTAAAAAATAATCGTATTTCATTTTCACTAAAATTATGAGCGACATGCAGATATCTAATTTCAATTATACATACATACGAACAGGACAAATTGCAAATAAATGTACACTAATAACAAACACAAAAAATTCAATTTCTGGTTAATTTTATCAAACTCTTGCAAATAAATTGAAAAGATTGATATTTTTCATTTTAATGAAACTATAACTAACAAAATTTTCTTAAGAAACAATAATTTCCGATAAAATAGAATTTAAACATTTTGACTGATTTTTTTTTTTTTTTTTTTTTTGCTTTGAGAAAAGAAAAAGGAAATCGTATATTTAATTATAATAATTGATGTTAATTAAAGTCAATCAAATGTTAATTAAAAAAGAATTCTATTGAATTAGAAAGAAACTTAAAATTATATAGGAACGAAATTATATGAATGCTCTTCGATTTAACAAAACAAAGGGGTTTTCGCTTCATTGCATCAATTGAATTTCAATCGAACCCTTTCCTGTGACAAAGCGCCTCTAAATTCCTTATGAGATGGAATAAAATCGATTGGTCTTTACCAAAATTACTGTCATTAGAACACTCAATTTAATTCACTTTAAAAACAATCATTTTCCCCCTATAAAGTCGAAAATTATTTCTAATTTCAATTTACGTGCCAATGTTTAATTTTTTTTTCTTTTATCTTATTTCTCCTCTTCTTTTTCGTGAATTATTTTATGAAAATAAATTTCTTTATCTTTTTAATACATTAACAAGAGTTAATATTTAAATACAAAAATCTTCTCACCTTATGATACATTAAATTTTTTAATTAAACTCCAAATATTAATAGAAAGCACGAGAAATAATTTATTAGCGTCCTTATTGCAATATAAATGTATGAAAATGTAAATTATAAATAGCAAAAATCAATGCTAACATTTTTGTTTCTTATAGAAATTGGAAAATTTACATTCTTTCATTTTTATAATATGGAAATTTTATATTTTCAATGAGATGAAAAATATTTTGTGAAATTAGAAAAAAATAAATTTATTTCATTTAAAATCAAATAATATTTTTATCAAACTATTTTTATATCCATCGATTTTCAAATTATAGAAAGCTTTCATAATGTTTCTAGTCGATAAAAATGGCCCATTTTAAATAAATACTTATAAATAAAAAAAAAAAAGTAAATTAATAATTAAGATTTTACCTTCGTTCATAAAGGGTTGGACAGTCCTGGAAATTAATGTCTCTCGAGTCTTCTCGCGGGACTCGACCGAGGCGAGGGTCCAAATGGCCAAGTCGTAAATTGCACTATAGTACTTGTATATGTATCAGCAACATTAGAGTATCACCAACAGTTTGTACGGAGCTTTCACACGCTCATATCTCAAGTCACACAATATATATATATATATATATATATATATATATATCTAAAATCAAAATATCATATTATTATTATAAATGTATTAAATGTGAGTTTAATTTTAATTTACAAAAATATTTACTTAAAGATACGAAATTAGCATTTAAATACAATATGTAACAGAATATTAAAAATTAATTAAATATAAATTTTTCTTAACAATTTTGAAAACCGACATATAAATATACCCTACCGACTGATAATATTTTTTTTAAAAAATGACGATATAAAGTTTTACCGACGTAGAAATCTACCTTACCGACTGATGCTAAACAGTTTTGGAATTCTTTTGGAGGAATTCCAGGAAATTTTTTTTACAATCATTCGGTATAGTAGATTTCTATATCGGTAATTTTTATATTTTCATTTTAAAAAAAAATTACCATCAGTCGGTTAGCTAGATTTCTATGTGGGTAATTTTTATGATTTCGTTTTATTTATTTAAATGTAAATAAGACAAATAAATTAAATTAAACACAGCATCCGCTCGCGTGCGGAGTAAGCTTGTAAAGTTTACTTTAATCACTTAATTCGCATTAAGATGGGACAAACAAGTTTATGGAAATTCATGCGACTTCGTTTATTTAACACAGAGTAAACACGTTGCCTGGATTACTTTTATAATTAAGTTCAATTCTATGTCAGATAATTTTGAAATCTGTCTTTCATATTTTCAACATTAAAAAATAAATAGTTTTATAATAACTTATATAATTAACAAAATACATATATGTATTTTATTTATTACTGTAAATGATTGTTATTATCTTTTTTTAATTTTGAAACTAATTGTGTTCATGTAGGAAGCCGCGCTTTGGGTATAATAAATTTTCATCAAGGAGGAAGAGTTTGCCAACTAATCGTCTCCCTTTAACGTTTAATTAACCTGACAAGGTGATTGTATCCATTGCCTAAATTACGTCACGATGTATATGTATATATGAAATTCACGCGCTTTCGCTTCATCAACGAGCTTTTAAAGGCAACTTTATTATAATGGTCAAAGGAACAAGGAAAACAAAGTTTCATTTTCCGACAAAAATCTGCTGAAATAACCAGTGTGACTGAAAAATAAATGTCTTTTCAAAAGAAGAATATTCATCCCTTTGAGAATTAAGTAGAAATTTGGTTTTTAACATATATAAAAGCACTCAATCAACTGTATAAAATATGCAAAAAAAAGGGAGACCGAATTGCTTACTATAAAAAATTTACCTAAAAACTTAATCTAAGTTTCAAAATTACAAAAAAATATTTCAATTACTTTTAATAACCGAAAAAAAATTTTTTTACAATAAAAATTTAACGAACAAAATAATTCTAAAAGAATATTTTTTTTATCAAAAAAAATCAGAATGTAATTCAAAAAAAAAGGAAAAAGCTAAAAAAAGTAACGTTCCATTTAAAAAAATAAAAATTGTATTCTATACGTTAATTACTTTTTAATTAAAAAATTTTTTCCATTTCATTGAACAAATTTATGGAATTTATTTCGAACGTTGAAAAATGGAATTCTTTCACGAGTCATATATGTAAAAAGAGGAGCGAATTGTAAACTAGAGCCCGGGGGAACGTATATGTTTTATATTCGGAGGGGGTGAAGAATATGCACTCGTGGCACGTCACAAAAGTTCGCAAAAAATGTCGGATTAATCGACTAGTCGCAACGGCAAATTGAGAAGAGCGTTTTTTGACAGCTTGACCGTGCGCGAGTTGTGCAATCTAAAGCAGCTTTATCCGAAAATCCGTACGTTAATCACGTTCTTCACCATCCGCGTGCAACTTTGCGGAGTTTCGTAACTCTCTCTTTCTCTTTATATATATATATGTATAGTAACAAGAAAAAACACCCTAGCGCTAAAAGATTCGAGTAAAAAAATTATAATGTTTAAATATAAAAAGTTTTCCCCGTTGAATTCGAGCAAAAGTTACTTATTATTATTATTATTATTATTATTATATAACGAAAATTCAGAAACGGAATATTTTACACGATATAAAAGCGAGTACTTTAAATGTTAATTTTTACTAATTAGAATTTGGATTTCATATGTGGATTTAACAATTTTTTTTTCTTTCTAAACTAAAATTTCATTATAATTCTTTAATTTGTAATATTTAAACTAAATTTTTTAAATCTTTTTTAATTTTTAGTTTTTAATTTCAAATTTCGAAATTTTTATTTAAAATATAATTTAAAGAAAAATTTATATTGAACTGAATTTTCATTTAGCCAAATTCTTATTAAACTGAAATTTTATATTGCAAATTTGAAAATTTTTTTTTTTATCAAAATTGGATTAAATACAAAATTCTATTCAACAACAATTTGGATAATTAAATTAAAAATAAAAAAAAATCGCCTAATTAAAAATCTACAATATAAACAAAATTCGATGAAATATAAATTCTACTTTATAAAAATTGATATTTAAACTTTATAGTGAATTTCAGGTAATATTAATTGCATCCCAAAAATCACTAATGATATTAAAGCACGATAATACACACCTTTGTTTGTTTTTATCTTGGAGTCCAGTATATTTGTTTTGAAATGTGCTAAAATAAATTAGCGGGCAACCAAGCTTAATTCAGGAACGTTGGTTGGTCTCGTTGTCTGGACGATATATATATATATTGTTTTTTTCTTCATTTGCCAAGAGCGCTTTTTCGACGTGTTTTTTGGTACACACCAGTTTCTCTGCAGCGAATAGGTGGAATTTCAAGTTGGAGCTTCACAAACGGATGGAACCGTTGGCTGCGGGGCCATCCGGTCTGGAACTTGTAACTAATTGCGACTAGCAATTTGTCACGTAGATAAATGGCGGCTCGTCAGGCAGTGCCGTATAGGTAGAAACTTGTGTTGTGGCCCATTCTCCTCCTCTAAACCAGCTACTTTGACTTCGATCCTTCGTCTCGCTTTGTCTTTCTTTCGTAAACTGTTCATTGTCCTTTCCCGAAAATGCAATCCAAGTTTGCCACTTTCTGGAGGAAAAAAAAAGAGAAACAAAAATAAATAAGACTTATCATTTTAAAACTACTAATAATAAAAACAAAATGAAAATGACATTATTGACCTCCTTTTTGAAATAATAAAACCACTATTTATTCAGAAAAGCAATTCTTCTCAATAAACACCCCTAGTTCGCGCGCAAGTAAATAAAATTCCATTTCGCGAGTACTTTTCGAGTAAATAAATTATGTTTATGATCGTTTAAATCACAATTTTCTTTCTCGCCATAGCAAGGATACAAATTTGATTTATTAGCACAAACAATTTCATACAAAAATTTTCTATTCCCTCACCCCCTTTTTTTCTTTTTTCATATTCTATTCTATTTCATTTTCATTTTATTATATATATATATATATATATATATATATATATATATATATATGAAAAATTTACAGATTTTGTAATTGGAAGAATATTTCTTTTTTTTCTCATTTTCTTTTTGCAAGATTAATTTCTCTTGGAGCTTGGAATATTAATATGCAAATATAATAATATATGCGTGCATTTGCGAATATATGGTCTCGAGATAGGGAAAGCTTAACATAGTGAAAACTCGTTGGACGAATCATGCAGAAAATATTTTTTCCACTTTTATATATCTATATATATATACTCTCGTCTCTCGCCAAATAGCCAAAGTAAAGTTGGAGCGGAAATAACGCATTTTCTCTGTTCGTTCGTTTTACGAGTTTCAACGAGGAGTAGTAAATCTTCCCTCCTCTAAATTAGGGCCGTGACCTACCCAGAGCACTGATAGTCACTCATGTCACGAGCCACTAGTGGTCACATAGTTTGACGACTTCTGTTCCCATACGCGAAATCATCTTCGGCTCGAAAAAAATTTCTTAAATTTTTATTAAAAAAAAAAAAAAAAAATTATAGCTTTTCATAAAATATAAATTTTGGTAAATTAAAAATTTTTTTTAGTTAAACATTAGAAATATTACTTTTAGTTGTTTCATTTTTAAAATTGAAAATAAATTAATAAAAAAAATCAATTATTACTGTAAAATTAAGTAATTAGATTAATTTTTTTCTAAAAAAAAAAAAAAATTCAGATTTTTGTTAGTTAAGAAAAAACATTCTGGAAGTTTTAATATTGGGATTAATTCGATTCTGTAGTGCATATATATGAATTCTTGATCTTTTAAGTAGTAGAAACTGAATTTGGTCAGACGCTCAGTTTGAAGCGGAAATCTTTGCTGATAAATTGAAATAAATTGAAAAATAGTTTCTACCAACTAGTTTTGTATATGAATAAATAAATAAATAATAAATAGATTAATTAATTAATAAGTAAATAAATATTTTTTTTAAAGGTGTGAAACTTGTTAGAAAGTAAAAAAAAAATTTTCAAAGAAGAGAAAGAAAATTTATCGAATTAAGAGTAAAGTGGGGTGCAGTGCACGATAAAAATTAAAAGTTGTTCACCAGGAAAAGTATAGGATCGAAGCGTGCGTAGCTTTTTAAAAAAGTTGCCCTACAGTATGTATGAACTGTAAAAATACACTATGTGCTTGGAAACAAGCTGGCCTCAAGCTCCATTAATTACGGTCAAAGGTCTTTTTAGTTACTATATAGTTAACTAAAAAAAAAAAATTTCCCTTGCTTTTCGTATACAGTCTCATTATATTATGAGCCATGAACTTCATTACTAAAAAGTGTTATAAAGCTCTTTAAATTTTGCTTAACATTTTTTTTTTATCTACAATTTTATAAAATATTACCACAATTTACAAATTATTCAACATTGTACGTTTTCGAAAAATTGTTATTAAATTATTTTAATTTCAATTTTAATTTAATTTATAATCAATTTTAACAGAAAAAAAGTTTGAAAATAAATATTTAAAAACAATCATTAATATTTTATTATAAAAAAAAATTATTAAATTTTGAAAAAAAAAAATTATTTTTGAAAAAATGTGAGCATTAAAAAAAATTTGTCTTTATAGTATAATATTTACAGTAGAATGAAAAAAAAGAGATAAGATGTTTTTAATTGAAAGAAAAAGAATCTACAGAGACAAACAAAAAAAAAAAAAAAAAAAGGGAAATCTTTTACACAAGTGAAGAAGCAATTTGAAAATGTTAAATACATTTTTCCCTGAAGGAATTTCATTGCTTCGTTCAAGTTGAAACTATTCCCAGGACAAAGATTCTGCAAATACCTACACATCTTTATATTGTACGAAAAAGAAATTTAAGAAAAACTTTTTTTTTAATTCCTCTCGAGAGCACATTTATTACACCACGTACGTTTAAAGAAATAAACATAATATCCAAATGGAATTAATTTAATATGCATATTTTTTTCGGCCTAAATTTAGAAATAAATTTTTCCCTTAATTTTGTTTTTTAATAAAATTTTTTTTTAATCTCTTGATAATTCTCATTGGCTATATGTAATTTGATATTATTTTCAAAGACAATTAGATTACATACACATATATGTATATATAAATAATGTTTAGTAAACAATAATGTACATTTACACTGAGCCAATTTCTATTGTTATCATCCTTATTATATTGGAAAGGTATTTAGGTTTCGGCGAGAGAGTGCAATAATACACATACATATATAACAAAGAATTTGTAAACTCAACAACGGAGAATTTATGGAATTTATATATATATGTGTGTGTGTATTATACAGAATCAGAATGAAACTTTCATTGGAATTGAAACTTTTGAGCTTGAAAATGCTGTTAATTGAGTATTTTAATAAAAGCATTGTTCTACTTCTAAATATTCGGAAAATTTCAGATTTTATTTCATTAAAATACAGTGCAATATATGTATGAAAAGAGAAAAAAAGAAAGAGAGTTTAGACCTTTGCGATATTTTATTTCATTGACAGCTCCGATAGAGACTGTAACAAAAGGATACGATTGAAAAGCACGGTTACTAGTACTCTCTCTCTCTCTCTCTTCTCTTGCCTCCACTTCCTGGTGTACATACATATTCGCCAATTCCAAATAGCAATTTATTTCTCCAAGCAGTTTTTCGATAAAAAAAAAAAATCATCTTTGTTATTTTTAACGAGTCCAGGATATGAAATCTAATAAAAAAAAAATTTTTTTTTCTTTCATATGATTAATTATTGTGGAAGATATAAAAAATCTCGAATTTTCGATTTTTCCTCAAAAAAAAAAAAAAAAAAAAAAAAAAAACATAACTCGAAAATGTAAACAAAAATCTTGCTCAATTTGAAGACAGTTTTTGAGATGAGGAGAACAAATAAAGGAAAAAGATACAATAAAGAATTTTCTACCCTGTCAAGAACCTCTAAACGAGATTGTCGAAAACGCAATTCAGACTCTGAAGCCACCGGGGCATAAAACATGAACGAAAGAACAGTGCGCTTCCTATCTGAAATTCCTGGGGTTGTCTTTGACGAATTCTCTGGAAATCGATTCAGAGGTATACGCTGTTGTACTATAAGCTTGTCAAAAGCAAGTTGAATAATGCAACAACTAACTCCTTTCTCTTTCTTCGTTTCATTCGCGTTTTCCCTATATATATTCCGCGCGTTTCTCTCTATATCATTCTCTCTCACTCTCTTTCTATTTGCTCTTTGCATATGTAGCTGAGTGTATTTGTGTTCTATCTCCGTTATATGCGTGCTGAAATGAAACCAGTCAAGTAGTACATCTACATTTTTCACCCCGCACGTTCTGTTGTATATTTTTCTCTGCACAAAAGTTTATTTTTATTATAGGTATCAAAAAAAATAAAGAATAACAAAATTTCGTCCAACTTGCATACTTTAAATATCACACTTCTTTACTATTCATATTTCTAGATTTTTTATTTCCACTATCAATCTTTCTTTCTCTTTTTTTTTTTTTTTTTATTTAAATACAATATAATACTGAAGAAATAAAGCAACAAGTAAAATAACAAAAATTAAATATTTCTTTAAACTTCCCTTTTGTTTTAAAACAAAAAAATTTTCCTATTTTTTACCGAATAATTAAAAGAAGAGTAATTAAGAATAAAATTGTCCCAGAATAATAGAAAAGAAAAATACGAGAATGAAGTATTATTTTTTCTATAACTCTACAGAATGTCGTTAATTGGAACAACTCAGTCGGATAAAAGAGCAAAGCTGACAATAAATGTTTATAATTCTCGTGTTATAGAGAATAAAAAAAAAAATAAAAAAATAAACATTCCCTCAATTAAAAGTGATTTTTTTCTATAACTACTTTCAATAACGTCGAACAAACCATGTCATATAGGAATCTAAAGTTATAATTTTTTAATTTAAACTTTCATTCACGACACTCAATATTATTGTGACTGATTCATTATTTGCCAATGGAGTTTGCAAAACTGATAGAAAATTTAAAAAAACTAAATTTCAATTTACTCCATCGAAAATAACCAAACAAGAAACTAAAATTTTATAATTTCGAAAAATTAAATAATTCAACATAAAAAAAATTTGAAAATTTAAAGAATTGTAATTTTTTGAAATTTGAAATCATTGGCCCCTGAATAAAAAAAATTTTTAATTTCAGTTTTCAATAAATATTTCTTTTTATAAAGAAAAATGGTATGCAAACGTTTATAATTTTTAATTTACTGGGCAATGTTTTCTATTTCAAAAAAAAATTATAACCGGTTCATTGATTTGGACCTTCAATTATAAATAAATTTTTTTGTTTAAAAAACAATTTAAAAAAAAACTGTTCATTGTCAACTAGCATATTTAACGCTCAGTCGTATTTGATTTCATTTAAATACATCGTAAAATTTGGTTCTTCCTTGGTTAAATGTTAGCGAGAAAAAATAAGGCAAGACATGTATAATTATCGTAATTAATGATCATTGGAAAATTATTCAGTTTCATTTAAATTGAGTTTGCGAGGGAAACAATCGTCGCGAAGTTTTATATACATATATATGAAAAGCCACTTTCGTTGGTCTTAATGAGTATTTTTTTTTCTTTTTTTTTGAGGGTTCGAGACACACACACAAGAGAGAAAAAAGGTTTCAATATGGTCGAAGAAATTTCAACAGTGCGAAGAAGCCGCGCGCGGCTCTCTTTCAGTCAAATAGAGTTTTGCACTTTTTCTCTCTTTTTTTTTTTTTTTTATTTCTTATTCTCCATTTCCTTTTCCCGACTAGGCGAAACCTGCCTTCCCATAAATATAGAGTACTGCAAAAGGAAGCAAGGTGGATGTTCTAGACCCCCCCCCCTCTCCTTCTTGCATTCAAGGATAAAACGAAAATATCTGCATGAATTCGCTGAATTAATCTCCTGGAATTGAACTTTACCTCGCTGTTCCGCGTATTCGATATATTCAATACAGAGAGCAATAGAAGAAGAGAGAGAGAAAGAGATACTTTTCTAGAGTCAACTGAAAAATGAAATCTTTTTAATCGGTTTAAAAACCGATAGATTGTCGAGTCGAGTCTATTTATGAAATTTATTTTCCATCTGAAAAAAAAGAGAGTACTTTTTTTTTTCTTCTTTCTACTGAATTGTTTATTCAATTTAAAAGAGAATTTCATTTTTGTTTGTGATTATTCGTCAATATAGAGTTATAAAAGTTCCCATAAAAATAAATCCGCGTCGAATTGCATACATATACAATTTTGATTAATTCACGTAAAATTTATTTTTACATCGTAACTCAATAATCCTCCTCCCCCCAAAAAAAGGGGGAGAAAAAACAAAAGAGAAAAAATTGCAATTATATTTTTAAATAGCATTTCAAATGTTCACAATAAAATTGAATTAATAAAATAAACAGAATTTATTAATTCAATTTATATATATAATTTTTTTTTTTTTAGAGAAAAATTTATCAAACAATTTAGAGGAATTTAATTTTCCTATCTAGGTAAATATTCTCTAAATTAAATGACTATTTCTTTTTTTTCAGTTAACGTCTAACAGAATTCGAGGAAACAGATCGCAAATGAAGAAATAAAAGATATTTTTTTCGGTAAAAACGAAGTAAAGATGCAAGTAAATAAAAGAAAAAGTAGAAGAAGAAGCGAAAAAAGTGAGACAGAAAATGAAGAGAAAACGATTGCTAAGTGTGGTCTGTTTTTCGCCAGCAAACAAAAGCTTAGTTAGAGGAAACTTCCGCTCACCGTTTCCTGAGACTGCATTGCACGTTCGGGACCATTGAATCGCCGGTTTTCTCACTTCCGCCATTTCCTTCAGAATGATTTTGCCGACTTGCAAGCTCACAAATTCCAAACTCTGGTGAGTGCCACTGAAAATTTGAAAAGCATTTAAAAACGCTGATGCCAAGACAAATATTTGTCTTATAAATTAAATGTCAGTAATTGGAATAATATTAGTCGCTAATTTATAATGTCAAAAAAAAAAATTCTTCTTTCTCTGATATTTCAAAACTTGAACTTGAAAATAAAATACAATATGATTAAACAATTTTTTTTTTAATTTCAGAAAAACAAATAATAACATTTATCTATAAAAATCCTATAAAAATTATTAATAAAAATACATTTTCAATTTTATAAAAGAAGATTTGAGAATTATCCAAACTTGTTAGAATCTTACCTTTGTGCTTTAATACTTTAAGAAGGGAACTGGATAAGGACATCGGCAACTCTTCAAAAGCCGTCTTGAGAACGAACCCAACATCAACAAAGTTAAAAGATGGTCAACTCTGGCCATACAAAAAAGCTCAACGTCGTTTGAGCTTTTGAATGAAGACTTCTTTTTCTCCACTGGTTTGGATTTTGTTTATTTTTTTTCTTCAAAAGCCCATGGAAAATTCACCGTCAGTAATGTGAAATCTGTAATAAAAAAAAACGACTATTAAACATTGAATACTTAAGTGACAAAGATGTATATAAATAAAAATAAAATCTTAACTATTACAAATTTAAAAAAAAATCAAAATTATAATCAATAAGATAAAAATAATTTTATATTTACTTAAAATACATTATAAAAATTACGAAATTTATTTATTTTTTAGACATTTTAATTCATTTTCGAAAATTCTAAACGATCTCCTACGAATTTTACTCTTTCTCCTTATTCAAGAAAACAGAAAAAAGAAAATTAAAAGAAAACATCTTTCTACTTTTTCAAGAGACATTCTTTTAATTTACATAGAATTCTGTTCAAGAATGAATATAGAATCTCATTAACAATCCATAAAATTAGTTGAAAATCTCTTTTCCTTTTTTCACCTCTCGTCTTTTTCAAAGAGCGAACCAATTAAACTTTTTTTTTTATTTCGTCATTTCAAATCTTAAATCCCTACATTTATAATCGTCGTTCATAAAGAGCTTTTCTTTCAAAAAAAAAAAAGAAATTACTTTGACGTGAAAGATTTCTTTTCCAGAAAATTTAGTTTTCTGAATTGCAATCTTATATAATGTCGTATATAAATAAAATCTACTTATGTCATGTATTTTAAGTGATTTCTTAATTAAAAAGCATTAATGAGAACTGGAAAATTTATAACTGCATTTAATGCGAAGAAATCATCGAGCGTAAAAAGCTGTAATTTGCATAAGTATACATTCACTATGCCGTATATATCATTTTCAATTCAGCTTTTAAATCAATTCTGTTTACAATTCAAACGTTTCGTTCCCATCTGCTTTCCTTTAACGATGCTAAGTCAGCTTAACAAGATTTCTCTCAGAATATCTTCTTAACAAAAAAAAAAAAAAAAAAATGAAAGAAAAAAAAACATTTCATAAATTTAGACATTTCTGTCAAGATAACAATAAATAAAATATTTTCGTTTAAAAAAAATGTCTCCATAAATTCTAAACTTTTAATTAAATGAAATTTTATTTGCATTGTACATAAAATATTTAGAATATTTAAAACAAGTTGTAAATTCAGATGTTCATTACATGAACATTTAACATTTAACTTTCATTAATTCTTTAAATTTACCTCAAATGTATACTTTATATATATCGATCGATTCGTCTTGACGTAAGGAATACGATTTTATTATATATAACCTTACATTTTTCCATTTAAAAATTCTTTCGATTAAAAAAAAATTTTTGGAAAAAAGACGATAAAAATTTTTTTTGAAGTATTTTTAAAAATCCTTTGTTCAGATTTGAGATATTAATATGATAAATAAGCCTACCAAATTTTATGTAAATCCATTAAAACCTGTTAAAGTTATCTTCTAAACAAAAAAGAGATCCACACACACACACACACACACACACATATATACACACACATACATACATCCGGACAATTGATCAGGATCTCATATAACATGTTTCTATAAAGATGCTGAGCTACACTCACTAAAACTGGGGAAAAATTTTCGAAAAATTAAATTCGCTAGATAATCGTTCGGGAATACAGCCATAATGATTAGAAGAAAGTTCTGAACAAAAAATGTATGGCGCACTTTTTGATTGGTCCAGCGGATGCTGAGCTAAACTAGAAAACAAATTCGGAAAAATTTTCGAAAAACTTAATTCGCGAGATAATCGTTCGGGAATACCACCAATAAAATAGGGAAAAATTTTCGAACAAAAAATGTATGGCGCACTTTTTGATTGGTCCAGCGGATGCTGAGCTACGCTCAAAAATATTGTGGAACAATTTTCGAAAAATTAAATTCGCGAGATGATCGTTCGGGAATACCGCCAAATTCTTTAGCAAAAAGTAGCGAACAAAAAATGTATGGCGTACTTTTTGATTGGTCAAGCGGATGCTGAGCTACACTCACTAAAACTGGGGAAAAATTTTCGAAAAAAAAAATTTGCCAGATAATGACTCGGGAATAATGCCAAAAAATTGAGCAAAAAGTCTGGAACAAAAAATGTATGGCGCACTTTTTGATTGGTCCAGCGGATGCTGAGCTACACTCACTAAAACTGGAGAAAAATTTTCGAAAAAAAAAATTTGCCAGATAATGACTCGGGAATAATGCCAAAAAATTGAGCAAAAAGTCTCGAACAAAAAATGTATGGCGCACTTTTTGATTGGTCCAGCGGATGCTGAGCTACACTCACTAAAACTGGGGAAAAATTTTCGAAAAAAAAAATTTGCCAGATAATGACTCGGGAATGCCGCCATAGAGATTAGAAGAAAGTTCTGAACAAAAAATGTATGGTGCACTTTTTGATTGGTCCAGAGGATGCTGAGCTACACTCAAAAATAATTTGGAAAAATTTTCAAAAAATTAAATTCGCTAGATAATCTTTTGGGAATACCGCCCATAGTGATTAGAAGAAAGTTCTAAACAAAAAATTTATGGCGCACTTTTTGATTAGTCCAGCGGAGGCTGAGCTACACTACAAAACATTTTGGAAAAATTTTCAAAAAATTAAATTCGCTAGATAATCTTTTGGGAATACAGCCATAGTGATTAGAAGAAAGTTCTAAACAAAAAATGTATGGCGCACTTTTTGATTGGTCCAGCGGAGGCTGAGCTACACTACAAAACATTTTGGAAAAATTTTCAAAAAATTAAATTTGCGACATAATCGCTCAAGAATACCACCAAAGAAATAGTCAAAAAGTTCTGAACAAAAAATGTATGTCGCACTTTTTGATTGGTCCAGCGGAGGCTGAGCTACACTACAAAACATTTTGGAAAAATTTTCGAAAAATTAAATTCGCGAGATAATCGTTCGGGAATACCGCTAAATTCTTTAGCAAAAAGTAGCGAACAAAAAATGTATGGCGTACTATATGATTGATCCAGCGGATGCTGAGCTACACTCACTAAAACTAGGGAAAAATTTTCGAAAAAAAAAATTTGCCAGATAATAACTCGGGAATATTGCCAAAAAATTGAGCAAAAAGTCTCGAACAAAAAATGTATGGCGTACTTTTTGATTGGTCCAGCGGATGCTGAGCTACACTCACTAAAACTGGGGAAAAATTTTCGAAAAAAAAAATTTGCCAGATAATGACTCGGGAATGCCGCCATAGTGATTAGAAGAAAGTTCTGAAAAAAAAATGTATGGCGCACTTTTTGATTGGTCCAGAGGATGCTGAGCTACACTCAAAAATAATTTGGAAAAATTTTCAAAAAATTAAATTCGCTAGATAATCTTTTGGGAATACCGCCATAGTGATTAGAAGAAAGTTCTAAACAAAAAATGTATGGCGCACTTTTTGATTGGTCCAGCGGAGGCTGAGCTACACTACAAAACATTTTGGAAAAATTTTCAAAAAATTAAATTTGCGACATAATCGCTCAAGAATACCACCAAAGAAATAGTCAAAAAGTTCTGAACAAACAATGTATGGCGCACTTTTTGATTGGTCCAGCGGAGGCTGAGCTACACTACAAAACATTTTGGAAAAATTTTCGAAAAATTAAATTCGCGAGATAATCGTTCGGGAATACCGCTAAATTCTTTAGCAAAAAGTAGCGAACAAAAAATGTATGGCGCACTTTTTGACTGGTCTAGCGGATGCTGAGCTACAGTAAAAAACAAATTTGGAAAAAATTACAAAAAATTAAATTTGCGAGATTATCGGTCAGGAATACCGCCAAAGTCTTAACCCGGGAGTCTCGAACAAAAAATGTATAGCGCACTTATTGATTGGTCCAGCGGATGCTGAGCCACACTCAGATAAATTTTTTAAAAAATATTGAAAAAATAATTTTGCGAGATAATTGGTCGGGAATACCGCCAAAGTCTTAACCCGGAAGTCTCGAACAAAAAATGTATGGCGCACTTATTGATTGGTCCAGCGGATGCTGAGCCACACTCAGATAAATTTTTTTAAAAATTTCGAAAAAATAATTTTGCGAGATAATTGGTCGGGAATACCGCCAAAGTCTTAACCCGGGAGTCTCGAACAAAAAATGTATAGCGCACTTATTGATTGGTCCAGCGGATGCTGAGCTACACTCAAATCAATTTCGGAAAAAATTTTGAAAAATTAAATTTTCGAGATAATCGCTCCGCAATATCCCTAAGGTAGTTAGAAGAAAGTTCTGAATAAAAAATGTATGGGGCACTTTTTAATTGGTCCAGCGGATGCTGAGCTACAGTAAAAAACAAATTTGGAAAAAATTACAAAAAATTAAATTTGCGAGATTATCGGTCAGGAATACCGCCAAAGTCTTAACCCGGGAGTCTCGAACAAAAAATGTATAGCGCACTTATTGATTGGTCCAGCGGATGCTGAGCCACACTCAGATAAATTTTTTAAAAAATTTCGAAAAAATAATTTTGCGAGATAATTGGTCCGGAATACCGCCAAAGTCTTAACCCGGAAGTCTCGAACAAAAAATGTATGGCGCACTTATTGATTGGTCCAGCGGATGCTGAGCCACACTCAGATAAATTTTTTTAAAAATTTCGAAAAAATAATTTTGCGAGATAATTGGTCGGGAATACCGCCAAAGTCTTAACCCGGGAGTCTCGAACAAAAAATGTATGGCGCACTTTTTGATTGGTCCAGCGGATGCTGAGCTACACTCAAATCAATTTCGCAAAAAATTTTCAAAAATTAAATTTTTGAGATAATCGCTCTGGAATGCCATAACTGTCTTTAGCAAAAAGTAGCGAACAAAAAATGTATGGGGCACTTTTTGATTGGTCCAGCGGATGCTGAGTTACACTCAGATAAATTTTTTTAAAAATTTCGAAAAAATAATTTTGCGAGATAATTGGTCGGGAATACCGCCAAAGTCTTAACCCGGGAGTCTCGAACAAAAAATGTATAGCGCACTTTTTGATTGGTCCAGCGGATGCT